GGGGGGGGGGGGGTGGGTCAGGGAAAAGGGGGCCAGCTGTGTGGGCTAGCGCATTATGTGTGTGTACGTGTGTGTGTGTGTGTGTATGTGTGTGTGTGTGTGTGTGTGTGTGTGTGTGCGCGCGCGCGGGCGCGCGCGCGCGCGCCACCTACGCCAACATGCTCTGTATTGTGAGCGCGGGAGGCCCCGTCAATACAGAACATGTACGCGTATGGACTTCAGTGCGCCATCAGACCAGAACCCCCAGCTTGAAACAAGTCGCCTTAAAAACCACACAATGTGCGCTCGAGCGCGCCCACGCCAAATTCAAAGCCTGTCATTGCTGTGAACCCCTTGACCCAACGCCTCCCCAAACACCTCAAGGACCTAAGCATGCGCCAGCGCTTGTCCCCAGAACGCAGAACCCTTCGAAGCCGAGCGCCCCGCAACCCCCGCACCGCCCTGCATCCGGAGGGTCACACCCCCGGTCAAACCCCGGTCAAACCGCAGTCAAACCCCGGTCAAACGCGCACCCGCGAGGTACTCTGTGAACTCGTTGAGGAAGCGCTGCATGTAGACGATGCGCACTGTGGACAGCCGCGCATCGACGCTCATGTAGGGGGCGCCTCCAGGGACGCGCGGCTCATTGTAAGACTCCGCGATCGAGTGCATCCTGGTGGGGTGTCGATCGCAATTGGAGGGGGTGAAGCGGCGCGGGGGTTCGAGGGTTCGGGGGGTTGAGGGGGCGGCAGCGCTCAATGGGATGGGGGTGAGACTGCCACCAGATGAGTCGCCGCCGGGGCGGCGGGGCGGGTGGGGTGAAGCTGTAGGTTTGAGAGATGGGGGTCAAAATAAAGGGGGCTGTCGCACACAAACACACACACACACACACACACACACACACACACACACACACACACACACAGAGAGCCACACACAACCACACAAACATACGCACGCACACATACATATACACACACACAAACACACACACAAACAAGACACACAGGATTTTTCGGACCCCACCCTCTCACCTGTAGACGACCTCGATGAGGGACCCCTCTACACCCTGCCTCAGCGCGATCATGGTGCGGTTGGGGTCCCCCTCTGGCAGCGCCCCGTACAGCAGCACCACGTTGCCCAGGCTCGTCACCTTTGGGGTGGAAGATGAGTTTGTTGTGAGGCGTGGACAGATCAAGAGCGGCGCGAAGCGTCCACCCCCTCCCCACCCCTCTCCGCCCAGGATTCGGGCCCGAAGGGTTGGCCGGGATCCGCGAGGCCTAATTTTGCGAGCACTACATGTGCAGTGTGCCCACCAGCTGCAGCGTCGAGGGGTGCACGTCGAGGCCAAAGTCAAAGTTGTCGATGGACCCGACGGCCAGGGGGGCGTGGTCGCCCTCGTAGCACATGTGCAGCTCCACCTTGGAGACCTGCGGGGGATGGGGGGGGAGTGCAGGAGAGATGGTTGGGTTGCCTCTTCAGGGAGAGGTCTGTGGGTCGTCCGGTGGGTGTCGTGTAAGGATTGATGGGCTTGGTTAAGGAGGGGCCAGGCAGGGGTCTTTGCTTGGGACGACCCTCCTGCCCGCAACCTCCAACCCCACTCTGATTCAACGCTCCCACGCAAAGGTCTTTCGCGCATCGGCTGGGTGGTGCACGCACGCTTGATACACAGCCCCCAATGGAGTGCAGACTCGCACTCACGCACCAAGTATCAGAAGCGCCCACCCACCCCTCCCCCCCGCCGCCCCAGCCAGCCCCAGCCGACCCACCAAAAACCGCGCCCCACCTGCAGCGTCAGCTTGAACACAGTGCGCGTCTCCCCGCCCGCCTTCACCAGCTGCAGGTCCGTCACGCTGTCACTGCCCCCCAGAGACGACTCAAGCCGCCGCCCCGCCGCGCCCGCCGCGCCAGCACCCGCTCCGCCCTCATCCTCGCCCGCCGCGGCGTCCGTCGCAGTGGCGGCGGCGTGCTCGTCGTGGGCAGCGAGGTGGCTGCCGATGGCGGCAAAGTCGCCGCCGAAGGCCATCAGGGAAGCCACCGTTGGGCGATTCAGGTAGAAGACAAGCGTTGCCAGCTTCAGGGAGAGGTCCACGTCGACCCCCGCATACTTGCTGCTGCCTTCGCTGTTGCGCGCGAACGACAGCCGCACGAGCTCGGTGCCCGCCGGCGCCGCGGCGGCGGCGCCCGCGGCCGCGGCGGCCGCGGCGTCGGCGGCCTTGGTCGTGCCGCCGCCGGGGGCGGGGC